CAACACCAAGTGGCCGATAATGACCGTTCGTATGCTGCTTAGCTTGCAAGAAGCGCTAAGGCCAATATTACATCGAAGTACCGATACTATAATTTAATAATTATCAATAAAATATCTGAATAAAAAGGTAAAACAAGTACGGTAATACGTAAGTAAAGTTCAACTATCAAAGATGCTGTAAGGAAAAGTCAATGAAATTTAGATATGGCCGCTATGACTACCTTAGCTTTGGCCAGGTAGAGATGCATACGTCTATTGAGAACAGGCAGTTGTTCGAGATCGTAGTTGCGCAGTCGATTTAACTCCAATTGAAATGCAAGTGCTGGCTCCAGATGTCTGTAGACACGATCCTCGCGAAAGTCATCACACGCACGGAAAGTGTAATATGATGGGAAGCAACGCTTCAGAAAAGAAAATAAAGCGAGTAAGAGCCAAAATTAGAGAAGTTCCCCTCTATAATAAGAAAATAATGTAATTTTAGTGTAGCTTATGGAATATTCCTTAAAAATAATCGTAGCAAAGGTGGCTGAAGTTTCGGCAGCGATATCAGATGACCAATTATACGATATTCATTAACACTTGAAAAGGATACCTTGTGTAAATGGAAAATTAGTTTCATCGATAGGGCAATTTTAGCATCGCTTTTAGTGGAGCTAAGGTATTTACTTTAAATATGTGCTCGTCTTCGCGCTACCCCATAGTATACCCCAGCCTTGTATAAAAGAACAAGTAAACGAGTCACGGAGTGCCTTGGAAATAGAAAGAAAAGTTACAGGCGAAGATTCGATGTTGGAAAACACAAACACTGGTGGAGTGCTGAGATAATGCAAAATGGCAGTGTCCGGTCACAGAGGGTCACATAAGGTAGCGATGGCGCCAGGGCAGCGATGGTGCAGGGGGTCTCATTATAGGGAGTTTCTGACTTAGAATACTCTTGTACCACGTTGTGATTGGTTCAACGGAGAAGCTCGATGCGGTGACTAGGCTTAGTCCCTGCTGGATAGTACCGGTGAGTCATGCGCCACTTCGTGTTGAATGAGTTGAGAGATAACCGCGAAAAATGTAGCGAAGCTGATTGTGGAGGAACTGTCATTACAAGCTTTATCAGACATTTGCCCGTGTTTAAATGCACATTAGAAAGACTTGCTTCTCATCAAGATTAAGCAATCTGAGATGAGATAAAGTAGTTTAAACAGATGAAAACAATTCCCCACTTAAAGCTGTACAAATTACTAAAGAATAACTTTAGACCATTACAATAAATGCAGTTACAAAAGAATTACAGGTTTAATTATCAAGAAAGTGACTCGGCGAATACCAGCCGCGCGCAATTGCTCTGCGTGTCGTGTGCAGAAGGACTCAAGACAGTCCACTTCAGCTCGAGCGGTGTCCTTCGTATTCAGCTGACAGCTCACACCTGCTGGAAGGGTCTGATGACTATAAGTTGAACGCATGAGCGTATCCTCTGATGAACGAGCTACGGCACCGGTTTGTTGCTTGAGCGCAATGTTAAGGATATGTATCGGCTCTTCAATGGGGTTGTTCTGATAAAGTTAAAAAGAACAAAATCCGTCAAAGCAAAGAAGTGGAATACTATTGAACCATCAAGTGAATACTTTGCTTTATAGGACACAATCACAATTCAAGGGAGCTTAGGTAAACGAGTGGGCATCAATTAGCAATAGAGTGAATTGTGGTTTTGTGTTAAGGATAGTTCGCTTGATTAAGAAAGCTAGGAAACCGGATAAAAATTCGATAATGTACCCGTTCAGCCGCTCGATGTAGGTAGAAAAGATAGATGCAATTGCAGAGGGAGCATTCCCAGAATACGTACTTCGAAGAATTTCTATATGTATTAACATATGCGAAAACGAGATCGTAAAGGAGATTGTTAAACATAAAAGCCACTGACTTGACTCTTGAATCTACGATCAGGCTTCAGAAACGACTCAAGTGGCATATAATATTGTCTCTGATGTTAATGCAAATATAGGTTTGACTCGAATACAGCAGTCTCACAAAAAATGCGATATTGGAGAGGCCTGGATTGCCTTAATAGCCACATCTGTGCGCTGATCCTCTGGCACCAATTGATGTTTGGCAGAGCGACAAATTTGTCGCTTGAGGCGCACGAAATGGATGTGAATCCTGTTTACAAAGCTAGTTAAATCAAGGCGAAGTTAAGACTGTCGTCCACCCTAGTTAAGGAAGCCTTATAGGAGGCATCGTGAGATCTACTCATGCCATTGTGTAAAATTAAACTTCAAGTCCTTATATCAACTTAAACAATATAAGACGATTCGAGCTCTTGTAAGTAATA